TGATGATGATGATGATGATGATGATGATGATGATGATGATGATTATGATGATCTGTGACTTCCTATACAGTGACGCCCCGTATATACTAAGCCTTCAAATGACTGTGCTGTGTCGAAACTCTCAGAGCCAATCGCGGTGGGAGCAAACTGATCTCTCTCGGGCCTATCTATCTCAATTACATACGTTACTGCGTTTTTACCCTTAATACGCCAGTTGCTTAAGTTGGTTTTTATACACCCCACAGGTTGGTTGATGCCGTCTACGAGAGAACACCTCAACTCCCCCCAATGGCTTCATCCGTCAGAAGACCCCTTAAGCCAAACGCCGCAAACCTACCATTCAAGCAGGTACTTAAGGCGTTGCAAACTGTGAACTTTAAAGTGCGGTTTTTTTTGAAAGGATAGCTGCAGAATAGCAATGAACAGTTTACTTTGTTTCCAGCATTCTACTAATTTCATCTCTTAGCATCAAGAATGAGGAAGTTAAGTGATGGAAAATAATTTTTATTAACTAGCGGTATTAAAAGTAAACAGCAGTTAGAAATTGCCACCCTGATAAGACGTTTTTGTTTCAGTCTTGCTCTCGAATGACTTTTCTTCGCTCCCAGGGAAGTACTGTTTCCGCCAAAGAAGTGAATTCGCTTTATTGTAACCGCCTATAAGGCATAGTCGTTATCTTAGAAGGCACAAATAGATCTGGCAAGAACAATTTTGCCCCCAAGCACTTAATGTTGTCTAACCCTTTCGTTTTTTCCTCTCAGATGGAAAATATTCAGATTTTCTTGGACGCCGCAGAAGCCTACGGAGTCCCGAAGACGAGCCTCTTCCAGACTGTTGATCTGTATGAGTCACGCAACATGTCACAGGTCTTAAATACGATCATGCAACTGGGAACTGAGGTATACACGGTTTTTGGCAATACTACTGCGTGGAAATAAACACACATTATTTTTTAACTCTGACTTTTAAACATGCTTTAAATTACACGGAAGTAGGCGGGTGAGATTAAAATGTTGATTAGTACATGAAAAACGGAGTTCTGGCCTTTGGTAAAGTGCCTCACCAGACGTGCAGACAGAACTACTTTATGTACCTGCATATATTTTCAGAAAGGAGACGCACGTCTCTTTGGACTCACTAAATTATTTTGATGAACATCTGATGTTCAGAAGTTTGGCATTTTGTGACTTAAAAAAGTTTAATGGTGTATACATGCTTTACGAGATAATCCGCTTTTCCACATGTTCCTGTGTATTTTACCAACAAATGGCTCCGCTATTTGATCCCCCTGATAGCAGACACAGTTTTCACAAATTAAAAATTTTAGGTGACCTTGTTACATATGAGATCTAAGTACGGAAATACAAAGTTTGCGCGTCCATTTGAGTATACAGGCTTGAATTTAGAAAATAATTTAAAGCTCGTAAAAAATGCTGCCTTCATTTTCCTCGAGGGGACTGACTTGCAAGCCTGGAGGGCATCTTCGCCAAAACTGGCATGCCATTCCTTAACACATTCTCTGAATATTATAACTTTCGTACCATTTCATATTTTTTCGTGAGCATATTCGGAAAATTTCATCTATCTGAAAGTAAATAAAGATTGGTAATCAAAGAGCGTTCCTGTATTTTAGGCCCAACGAAACGGATTCCAGGGACCGACGTGCGGACCAAGACCGACGCAGAAGCAAGCACGTCAGTGGACCACCGAACAACTGCGAGCCGGCCAGGGTGTCATTGGTCTTCAGGCTGGAACTAACAAACTGGCCTCTCAGAAGGGCATGAGCTTCGGGTCAATGCGCCACTGTGCGGATACGAAAGTGGAGGAGATGTCCCCCTCTGGTTAGCGTTCAATATTAAGTAGCAATCCTATTTGAGTAGCATTTGAGGATAACATGTTAGAAAACACAGGTTAAGTTTATTTAGTTTTTTTCAGTATTATTCAGTATATATAAGGGAGATAGGCAGAGCCTTTGGAAACGCTTTTTAAGATAGATGCTGTCGAATCATGCATGTGTTTCGAAGCCGTATATGTACATTATATAAATCGTTGTTGTCTATTAAATGTATGACCAGCAAGTAAAGTAAGATCGAGTCTTTTAAATGCGTCAACGCTTTCAGCAAGAACAAAAGAGGAAGGAACTTTATTCCGGTCTTTAATGACCCGGTGGGAAAAGAAGTACTCTGTGCGTTACACTCTAAGGGAACGATCTTAATTCATGTATGCACGCATTATTAACACTTGTGACTTAAATTCACCAAAACACCTTATCTGTGGAGAAAAAGATCCCTTCAGCTGTGGACCGGGAGTTCCGGATCGATAAAATTCTTAGATGTCTGCATAAAGTCTCAATACAAGGTAGGACGCAATAGTACCGATTAAACAAAGGGAATCGAAGTAACTACTTCTGAATTGTCGGCTATCACTGGTCAGCTATAGCCCAACCCCAGACGGGCAGCCAGGTTTCGAACAGCTGGTCACCGAGCCATTTGAGATCAGATCCTCACCTGAGATTAGGATAGAGCTGACTGGTGTTTCCTCTCATGATCTATACGATCAGCCCTCAGCCGCTTTAACATATGTCATACCAAGAACCACGTGATCAAGTCTTCCGAACACAGAGAACATGCGCCCATGCAGCCCAGAAGACATTCAACCATAGTCGCTCATGAACCAGTGAATCATCCAATCAATTCATTAAGTTAACACTAACGGTATCTCATGCAATGCACACACACTTATTCATCCTAATCCACCTCACGTTTTTGGGGAGAAGGGGGGCGTAGTTCTAAAGCCGGTTGTGCGCATACGTATTTCACTACCACTAGGCACCTACACATAACGCGCGCCTTCTGACGATATCCTTCAATTTTTCATCCTAAACAGGGTCAATTCTGAATATTCTGGTGGCTGCGCAATGCTTATTGTTCTATCCGCCCTATAAATAGTGAAAAGAGGCTTTAAATTGGATTTTCAAAGGCTCTGACTATTTCTCTTATATATATACTGAATTAAAAATAACCCTTCCCTTCTCGTGTTATCTTTCTCCAGGTGATGCTGCTTTCACTGCTTTTTTACTCTAGTCTAATCAGATATTGTTCTTAATTGCACAGGCGCTGGAATTTGCAGTCTCCAAATGGGTACTAACAAGTTTGCCTCTCAAAAGGGTATGGCGATGGGCAGCGTCCGTCATGTGGCCGACATTCGATGCGACGATATCACGAAGGAAGGCCAGTCAATTATCACGCTACAGATGGGCACCAATCAGTGCGCTTCGCAGAAGGTAACTTGGCAATTTTATTTCAATAACCTGATAACACACTTTTTAACAGTAATCATGCAAATGAGTCAACAGGCTATTCATAACTTGCAACAGACACTGCATGAGGCTGCATACGATACAGCCAAGACTTGCACTATCCGGGTTAGAGGTTTAGGATATTCAGCCTGGTGACGGCAATGTCTGGAGAATTTCAGTTAACACTTGCTAAACACGATTCTGCAAGATCCAATGCACCCGTTTTCATGCGGTTTCTTGTGATTAAACATGGAAATGTGCCTCAACCCGCATATACGAACATCAATTGGCGGTCAAACCATTTATCCCAGGTGGCTATGCATACATTGAAAACCGTTAATTCCTGGAAGCAATGCACTCAGATGAGGCATGCATGAAAAGGCGTATTGATTCGGATGCCAGCTACAAGTATCTCAAGGACAAAGTTCAACGCGCACAGCCAACCACGGCGGGGTGAAGAAATGTATGTGTTGCCTATTGGCACGGAGTTCAGCCAACTATAGGAAAATTTGTTAGACACGGTTAATTCAGTTGATTGTCCCTGAACGTATCATATTGTCTGAAGCCTAACTAGGAACCAGTCTCGAAAATTTTTGCATTAAAGTGTCAAGTTTCACGAAAAAGTCCCGATCAAAAACTAACAAAACAGCGAGCCCGTGTCGCAGTGGTTATAGCGTTGGACTTCTAACTGACAAGGTCACGGTTCCGAAACTCGAGCGGGGCACCGATTTCTGGGGCAACACTTGAGTTGGGTACGACTAGCTAACGACGGCTACTAAGCCAGAACTGGCCATCCTAGGCTCCATTGTCTTTGTAGGTAATGTTCTTCTGCTCATATCATAAGTCACCTTACGGCGCAGGCTCAAGTGTGAGCTCCAAATGCACCATGGACGGACGAGTGTGTTCTATAA